GGTGGTGGTGGTGGTGGTGGTGGTGGTGGGAGCGTTGACAGAAGACCAAGGGGTTTTAAATGTGTGCCATGATCACTTAAGGTAACTCTCAAACAGTATGTATTACAATGGCTCTGCATAATGAACTGCAAATGCGACGTGCTAAACGAACAACCGATGAGTATTTGGGACGATAAATGAAATAATATGAACCGCATCTTTGCTAATCGATTCACGTCAGCAATTTATGTTTACAATAATTAATAAGAGCCTTGGCTAGTGTGTTACGCATCTGTAACGCCTCACCCCACCCCTCATATTATTTTTATCACTTGCAGTTATTTTGCTGAGTTCCATCGAGCTGTTAGTTGCTTTAGCAAATATCAATCATAGTGCGCACATTCCACATGATCGAACAACATAATGCCACAAAACTCTTACCGACAAAATCCCCTTAAATTATAGTTTTCTGTTCTTGGCTGCTTGATTTACGAAAAATGCCAATTAATTCCCTGTTCATTTGCCGTAGCAGCAGTCAGTGATTGATCTCTCGGGTTTCAATCTGGGTGTTAACTTATAAGCACAACTGTTGGTAGTTATCACAAGTTTCTGTGACCCGACTAAGCCGGAATAAGAATACCAAAACGCATCTCAATCAATTATTGGTACACTTTCATAGAGGGTAAAACTTTGGACGATCATATTCCAAACTGTTTTTTTATATCGAACTAGCACCAAGTCGATTAAGCTAAAAGAATATTGAGAGCGGACCAAATTACAAAAGGCCAATATTCAGATTGTAAAAGCAGAACTTTCGTCCAATCCGGGAGAACTATGCAATATAAATCCTATTTGTGGTTGGGCTTGTTAGAACACAGAGGACTGGAATTTATGGTTAATATCGAAAACGAAAACCATTTCAGCCCAGAGGTGAAAGTCCGCTCATGCTAAAACCAAAGGTAATTGGTATTAAGTCAGATCCTACTTGTTGCCTTCATGGTAACCCATTTTGGATAATTTTAAAATACTGACAGGAGATTACTGAAACGATAGGACACATCTTTAGTGTTGTAACGTGACTCTAGGGGGTTTAATGTTACTAATAAATTCAGTATGTACCAATATCCAGGGTTCAGGAAATCAGCAAGTATTTGGCAAGCGTCAGAAAATTCTGAGAATTGGATCATCATCCAATAAAACTTGAACTAAATAATGATCATCTAGGGCAAATGCTAAATCAAGTGTTAAGAACCAATTATGGTTAATTTACTTTTACAGACGGTTGAACGTCCAACAGGAATACTCATTATTTTTGTTGGTAACTGGATAGATCAAAAACTGCCTAAAATGGTATGAATTATCTGATTGTTTGAATGCCTTCAAAATCTCTGCGATGAAACATCATCGATTCACTGCCAAAAACGTGGGACATCTCCGATAAGAATCGTCTGTTCCAGTTAACTAAAGTGAATTCAAGGATCATGCTTGTCTGTGAGGGTATGTCCTCTATTTGACCCTCAGATAACGTAAGGGTTAGTCGCACTTCGGGCGGCAGTGGGAAGCAACGCTGATTAGCTATCCCCATTCCTCTAAGCTTCTCGAATCCATAGATCATCCAGCTCTCTTGGACTGAAAAGGAAATTCCAAACCGCTTATGTGAATAACACAGATTCCAGTTTCTTTATCATACAGCTTCACCATCCACGTAAAATGGGCGGTAGCGGCCCAGTGGTCACTTCACTAAATTATCTTCACCAAGGTCTGGCTTTCCTCACTCTGTGCTGAAAGGAAGTCCTTGGATTGGCCGCTTCCCCCTTCATGAAAACTTTAGTTTCGTATTCAATAAAAAGAAAGAAAATGAAAAGAAAAAATGAAAAAGAATAGTAGAACGCATAATTATTTAGTTTCCTCCCGGAAAATGTGCTCTACTATCTCAGCAAACCATGCAATTTGACGTCATGTAGCTCAACATCAAACACTCCTTTAAATGTTTCTACTTAACTATTCTTATTCAAAATCTATATTTCTTCAGTCGATGAGTCAAAATACTTACTTCATTGGTACGGCTAAGTATAATACTGAGCTTCTTGTTATATGAGATCAATAAATAATAAACTCACTTCATTATTATACATTAATTTGTATATCATTTGAGATAAATCAAAGATTTTAGTATTACCATGATTATCATAACTTCACTAAATAGAGCATTGAAGTGTATATCATCAAAGGCTGCTGTTGTCAGAAATTGTCACTTATATGCAAAAAGACAGAAGTTGCTTTGGAAGTCATCAAAACCAAGTAATTCTTTTTAAAAAAAAGTGAATGTTAGGGTAGGTAAATGATTGAGTAAGTGACAAGTGCAGCTGGAACACGTGAGAGAAGTAAAGCAACTTTCCGACTAGGAGCTCCCTTCATGTGTTTTAGGCAATGAACCGGATACCGCATATGGTGGTCATAATGTTACTCTTTTCGAGCTCACCATTCCACACTCCCTCCTCCTGAACTGCATGCGACCACACCCATTCTGATTGCACGTCAGAACTTTCATCTTCCTCTCTCCTATTCTCTCCTACGGGGTTCCCGCGATCTGAGTGAGTATTCAGCTCCCGGAACTGGGTACCTCACTTCAAATGATAGACACACTCAGGGCAATGTTTTGAACAGCGATATTTCCGGTGTTTTCCAGTGATCCGGATTAATAATGGTATGATTGGTAGATACAACTCTGTTCGGGGGGTTAATCCCGAAGGGTAGAATTGATCACAATTTGATGAATACACCTCCGATAGGTTTTGCAATTGTGACGGATAATGTAGCAAACTGAATGTCTCATACGTCCGGTTTCATATCATAATTTACAATCCTAACAAAATTCATAAAACATTTATTCAAAACGTGCACATTATAAGAACATTTTGCATCATTAATTCCGATTTATACATCCTATAAATTCCTTAAAGTCTTGTTCATATAAATGGAAAATTAATTAAAACAGAGTGCGATCGTAAGACATGGTTTAGTGGAGCAATGGACTTATCGATTTGGACTTGGGATAACAACTAACCCCGGCAAATTCCAGCCAGTATAATCTAAGGGAGGACACTCGAAATTTGGTAAAGCGAGATACGTAAGAGACTGTGAATAGCCAAGTTCAGACTTAATTGACAGAGATAAGTCAATGGTTGTTTTCGATTGCGGAAGCTACGCAGTAAGGAGTGCGATGGTGTATAATGAGGCCACAACCCGGGGTATGCAAAATAACTGACCATTCTAATGCGAGACATAGTTAATGAGAGCACTAAGACTGAAGCAGAACTTTATACCGAGAAGTGAAGTGTAGGTTGGCAGTAGTGTTTTAAGTAGGATGAATGAAAGCAAATATGAAATCAGTCAGCCAAAAAGGAAATAAAAATGTGCAAAACACACATGTTTATGTATAAGATGATAAACAAATATTTGAATGATTGAAAGCATTTATTACTTAAACTACTTGTGATGATTTCAATCAAGTAGATCTCGGAAAGCAGTCAAACTAGATGCTAGACCACAGATTTGCCCAAGAAATAAAAGCACTTGAAGAAAAATTAATGAAGAGAATCTGACATCAGATTCTCTGTGACAATGTCTTTACTGAAAACCTTCTCTGCTTTCTTGACTTTAAGCCAATATCATACCAGCCCGTCTGAACTATCCACAGGGAACTTTGTTAATCACTTGAAACCACTGTATCACATTCCTAATTTCAAGCAATGTGGTCCTTTACCAAGGGGGATATCATTTTGAGTTAGCCATGATACATGAATGATCTCTCTGCAATAACTTCAGCATAACGAAAATCAGAATTATTCATGACTGTCTGACCAAAAGTGATGCGGTAGGTGAATCTACTAGTGGTCCGCGGAGAATTTTTAGCGTGAGACTACTGTGTGCTTTGTCATCCAATCTTACAAATTTCAGTCCAATGCCTGAACCACTCGGGAGGGTCCCTTAGTTGTGAGAAATTACACACAACATTCTGCAATACTCTAAATCAATAAGAATACAAGTATAATTATTTCAATTTCATTCGTAAGAGCACATTCAGTGAAATA